GCGGAGAAAAGACCACTATCAAATGTTCACTCATCACATCATCACAAGCACTCTCTTAACGTCCGCCTATATATACGGCTTCTATAACGTCTCTAATGTGGTTCTGTGTCTAATGGATATCGTGGATCTCTTGTTGCCGGTAGGTCCCAATCGATATCTTTTCAAAAGATCCAGTATACTGACTGCATGTATAGACGGCAAAGATACTGAAGTACTTTGGTTTCGAGCTGGCTTGCAACGTTGCCTTCGGTGTTTTCATGCTCACATGGCTGATTACACGTCATATAATGTACCCCCTGCTGTGCTGGTCCATCTTCAAGGAGGTTCCCGCGAGGATGTCGTACGGCTGTTATTCCGGAACGACAGCCGAAATGATCTCGAACAATGGGTACCCCGATCAACTGACCCACCTTTTCTACCCATTCTTGAATATCGATGGTCCTATCTGCATGAACCGCACCATCAAGTGGATCTTTCTATCCCTCCTACTATTTCTTCAGGTGTTGTCCATCATCTGGTTCGCGATGGTCATTCGCGTGGCGGTGGGTGTTTTCCGTACTGGAAATGCAGAGGACTCGCGCAGTGACGACGAGGATGAAGAGGTGGAGACGAGAATCTCGAGCAAGGATGGCCCCAATGGAAGTGCGACAAGTGCCGATGCCACCAACGCCGAATGGCGCCGATCGAATGGATCATCGGCCGTACGCCCTCGCGCACGTGGGCGGGTTCGACTCGGCGAGCAGAGCGATCGCAAGGCACTACTAGGCAGAATCGGATGCGACAAGCCGAGCTAGATGTGCCATGTTTCAAATTCGCTTTTTCTTTTTAACGTTATTATGGAATTGATATGCAGCGATGCAAATATAAACGACTTAGCCAGCTTTGAGAAAAAGAGAGAACACAGACACGTTTTCCACTAACCCACCATGCCCACGCCGGGCTTTCATCCGCAAGTTTCTATTTTTACCTTTGATACCATGGATTGGGTTGATCGTATAACGAGGCGTGAACGAGGATGGACCGTTTATGAGTTGCGTTTCCTGGACTTTATTTACATTTACCCTTGTCAGCATGTTATTGAATTATGTTTATTCCACGGATGATGCTTGGAAGTCTGATCTCGAATCCGTGGAGGCTTTTCTTATTATTAATGGTTAGAGTGCAATCCAATACCCACCAAGTGATTTGAACTGATTATCACGATATGACATGAATGTGTATGTACGGCCGGATGTATAATAGATTCACAGACCCCATGCGGATGAGTCTTGTCATGTTTACGGACGCCAAACCTAAGAAGACATACTGGGCCTTTTTGCAAATTATGCCAAGTAATTTCCGTAGCGTTCATTAGGGTAATCTTTCGGGGTTAATGATTACTCGAAGCTGTTCTACACTACGTTCAAGTTCCAAGGTTGCGGAATGCATATAAATCGATTACTCCACCCACCCTTGCTTTATGAACGATGACTAGTAAATGCTTCAAGACACCCTTGCTTTTTGGGTCGGTGGCAAGGGACGATTAATTGATTAGTAGATTGAGTAAAGCTATCACAAGGTTCCAACTAATCTCGAGAGACTAATTCGTCCCCCTATGTTTTGACCCCACACCGTTGTACATAGATTAAGCTATATATATATAACCATTTCAAGGGGCGTGAAGGTATCATTTTGAAGAGTTGATGTTGAATGAAGTAATAAAAGGAGAATATCCAATGCCCATGTAGCTCGCAAAGAAGAAATGATAAACCAAAAAGACCCTAATGCAAGGCAAGTTTTCTTTGCTCATGATATCCGTTACCGTCATCGTACTCGTCATCATCATTAGTATCATGGATTGACTATATAGCAAAACACTGCATTCAGGTCTGCTAGTCATGTAAGGATTGGTACATTTGTCTCTGAATATGGTGTGAAAGATCTGAGATCAAAGTCCAGAATATCCTCGCGCATTTCGTCCTCATTCCAGAAGTATTCGGCCGATCGCCGGCGCTTCTGCTGTCGAGCTGCGAGGGCTTCTTCATTGACTTGATCCGTTCCAAGGGCGCATTCTTGCTGTGTTAGAATGAAATCTATCAAGACTTGCCGGAGACGGTCCCAGCTTGTCCCGTGGCGTTTCCATTCTAGACGCTTGGCGATGCGGATCATTCGGGAGACGATCCAGCATCTTTCTCCTGCGTCGCTAGCATGGTCGTTGGAATAGCCGCCGTTGTTGAGGAAAAGCCATAATACGGAGGTAATGCTGGGGTTCGTATAAGGGTTGAGCCTTTTTATCTCCAGGTCCAGCCAGTCAAGGTACCGGTCGAAGTTGGAGGGTGTTGAGTAACAATCGTATAACGCAGCAGCGAGGAAAAAGAGACATGACATGCATGTGAATTCGTCAATGAACCGCACATCGCGGATCCCATGGTCGTAATCTGGGAGCATAGTGAGGATCGAATATAACTGGGTGCCGGGGCCAAAGCGCTTGTTGCGGTGACCGGTATTGCTAGATACCATGATTGAAGGTGATTCAAGTGCAGTGTATTCCAGTTCATGGAGGCGGCGAAAAAATCTTAAGAAATCTTCACATGCCCGGAGTTGATCACAGAGGCTTTCTGCACCTTCTTCTGTTGCGAAATGATGGGGGATCGCAAAATGAATGTCGGTGTCCACAAAATCAAGTCCAGCGGGAGGACTGTCTGGTAATGTTCCAGACCAAGGTAGCGAAGTACCATATATCGCCTTTGGAGCGCAACTGAAGTCAACCCTGCATGGAAGTTAGTCGAGGGCTGTATGGGAATAAAGAGACAAAGCTGCTGTTAAGATTACCAGTACAAGACTTTCTCCAGGAAAGGGCTTGAGGCTCGCATTCCTTGCATCCCTCCTCGATTTCTGATCATTGACGCTAACCCCCTGAAGTGCATCCGTTCTATTGAGGCATCCTTCGACCATTTCTCCACGGTGTCAGCTATTGGAATAAACAAGCAAGGATGAAACAGACCTCAATAACAGCCATAGTAGCCACAGCGTAGATAGTTCCATCATGGTGACCCATAGAGTCTGCTTGGATACGCTCATTCATTAGTCGCAGCGCTCGCATTTTGTGGGTGAGACTCTGGACAGATTCCGCCTTTCCTTCTACACCCGCACGATGCTTGGAGGCAATGGCAAGCATGGCTTGAAAAGGAAGTTCATCATGTAATGCGAATTGTCGGAATATCTCCATCAATGGATTGTTCGCAATGGACTCGGCGAATTTATACATCATGGACGGATACGTCACCACAACTTTAAATTGTAAGCCCCCAACCATATCATAGAATAGAACCCCAAAGAGAGCCTGGATATCCGCTGCGTCCACTACTCTCAACTCATACCAAATCTATAGGCAAACTCAGGGTGTGAGAGGGTCGGGACTTACAGTGCTGGATCAATTCATGATCCACATGGCTAACCAAGATCGGGTAGCAGCTAAAGGGATCTCGCCTGCCTCCTTCTCCAGGAGACGCGCGAGGGTCAGACGTCGCGAGGTCAGCAATCGGAGGAGACGTCTCCTCCTCACGTTTAACCTTGTGCAGTTTTGGTATCAGTAACCGTGAGGGTCTTCTAATGTGTTCTGTATTATTTTGATCTTCGGTCTTAGTCGGAGATTCTGCCTTGACATTTGCATAAGTCTCCTCTTGCACCTCTTCCACGCGGGAAGAGGTGTCTGATACATGAGTATCGGAGGGAGGACGGGTGGTCCAACCGCCAACAGGTATACGAGATGCCCCTAGGCGGGCAATGCTGTCCAAGCGCCGCTGATGCATATATTGACGCATAGCATGACGGCGTACCTGACGCCGAGACTCATTATCGGTAACTAGCACAAACTCGAAGTTTCTGGACTGGGACGCCTGCGAGCCCGTCCTGGGGGATTGGTTGTTCTTGGACGGCCCTGCCCCATTGCTCGCATGATTACTAGCAGGCTGAAGTGCGTATTGGCCCGCTGAACTAGAAACATTTGAATCTTGAAAGTTGACATCGGGCTTTATTCCGGGCCCAAAGTCCTTAGCACCGTCCTCCCCCATCGTCTCATGATCTAGGCTCGGCCGGCTAAAGTTGGATGGCACAGCTCAAGCCGTGTGCTGGAAGCAGTTAAGTGGAGAACAGCTTGCCGGTGGGGAACGCCGCTCGTTAATCGGATAAGTAAGAAACCTTCATCCCACACTGAGATCACTAGGGCGGCATCCGATGCCTGGTGCATATCAAGAGTGTCGTGTTAGAACCAAAACTTCCAATGTTGGCCGTCTCCCCGATTTCCCCTTTCGGTGCGTTGCCCCACCGTCTCCACACGTGATTCATCCTTGCGTCTGACTCAGCAGCGTCTGTGGTTCTGCAATCCTCGTGAGAATCAGAGCCCTACGTTGGGTGCCATGTTCATACAAGAAAAAGAAGATCCTTCTTTCGCGATTTATATGTATGGAAGTCGTGATAGCTAGGGATGATCATGCCCCATACAGCGCCGTATTGCTTGACATTGGTCTAAGAAATAAGCTCCACATGGCGAAGGAATCAGTTCCGCAGCTCCCCATGGGGAAATCAGCTCTCACACCCACTTCAAAGTCTGGTATCAGAACTTAAGGGGTGTGACTCGTTTAGTGAGCTGTTTGAATGACTGTTGACAATAAAATACAATGTGGATACTCAGAGACTCAGGTTGACTATAACCATTCTACGGTCAACCCCATAAAGAAAAGGTCCCACAGAAAGGACGACAGAGTGGATGTTGTGTAGCTTATCAACCGCAACAGGAGGGACAAAACATAGTTTAAAAGCTAGTTTGTTATGTGGCGCCTCGTCCACCCGGCATCCCTTTGGTCTCTTCCGCTTAACAATGGGCCACGGACACAGTATCCATCACGTTTGAATCTAGGTCGCTTATTATACTCGGCATCGATTCACTTGGCGCGAATGTATTCAACTCGGTGTGCATATAGCGTAAGTGTGTTGACTTTGTGTATTGGAAGCTAATACATTTATCTGCCGCTTTCTCTAAGTTTTGCCAAAGCGGTCATTATACCATCACTCATTCTTTCCTCCTGAGTAGCTTTGTCTGGATGGACACGTTCAACGAGGTCTCCCTGAGACGCCACATACGCGCCTTCTGCTTCTGCTGCTAAGATTGCTTTTTCATCCTCATCATATGCATTCATTGAAGTTGGCATCTTGCTGTTTCGACTCGTCGACTCGTCGTTATTTTGACTATCTAAGTTTTTTGCAGGCGCCACTGGTTTCCCCGATGCTTCCACCCTGAAATCTTCTCTCACTGCATTACACCATTGTCGAACTTTCTTCTCACCCCAGCCAGGTACAGCGCTAATCTGTTCTGGCTGCGCGTTGATAGCATTTTGCAGGCTTCCAAATGTGGAGATGAGACTTGCCGCATCGGACTTGTTAATGCTTCTGGGAGCCGTGACAAACTCAACAAGTGACTCCTTATACGACTGTGCTTGCTGGGTGCGGATTGCAGTTGGTTGGGAGTTTTCGGAGGACTTGAATAATTCTAGGTAGTGTGCAGCTTCAGGAGCGGACCAACAAAGGGTCAGGGTGAGGTTGTTGATGATTGAGGTCTTGGATAACTCCTTCAAACTATCTTCATGGTTCGGGATGTCTACCATCACCAAGAGAATACGAAGCAGATACTTCCCTGCGAGAAGTCGGATTCGAGAATAGATGTATTCAGGATGTAAGCGGTGATATTTCAATGACAGAAAGAGAGCACAGGTAGTGGCCCCAACCACGTAGTCAGCGGGGAGATCGGCATATTCCCAGGGCAGAAGTTTGATATGATTCAATATTGGGTTGCCCTTTTGTCTCGTCGAAACAAGGATAGCTGAAGGGGTGCTTCTGCTTGGAAGGACCTGCGGTTTTGGTTGCTGGACTTTGGACGGCACTGGTACTGTGGATGCTTGCCTAGATGCAGATGCCTCGGACCTGGGGGTAGCACTGCATTCTACATTTGAAGGAGAGTCAGCCCCGGTACTTTCGCCGTACTCATCGGCCATGGTTGCTGGACGGTGATAAAGGCGGGACTTCAAAAGCGGCACTACTCGCATATCTCAATTAACCCAATCACTATCTAATCGCAGTCGAGCCGAGCTCTCTTCACCGCCTAGACCCACTTTTATCTTCAAAAACATCGCCGGGAATTTTCTGCCGCTGATTTTGATGCAAAGCAAAAAAGAAAAAGAGAAAAGCAATTCAGATTGCAGTGATGGCTGGAAGGGACGAGACTAGCCATAAAACCCTCCCAGAAGGCAGAGGGCACTCCGAGGAGGTGGAAGCTGCCATGGATACCGCGAAGAATGACACAGTCAAGGAAGAATCGGCCTCCAACAAGCCTAGAAGAACTTTGTTCGTTCGATCTCTGCCCGCCTCTGCGACGACCGACAAGTTAGCGGAATATTTTTCACAGTCCTACGTTATCAAACACGCTTTGGTCGTCAATGATTCGGAGACAAAGCAGTCCAAGGGATATGGTTTCGTGACGTTTGCTGATGTTGACGATGCGAAAGCCGCTCTGGAAGAATTTAATGGATCGGCTTTCGATGGGAAAAAGATTAAAGTCGACTACGCCCAGCCCCGTCACCGTACAATCGATGAGAATGCGGGGAAGAGTGTACCGTCATCCGCTGCGCTTGAGGCTAAAAAACAGAGAGAGCAAGAGAGGGCTGCCACTCAGCCGCCCAAACTGATCGTTCGCAACTTGCCTTGGAGCATCAAGGAACCGGATGACCTTGCGGTCCACTTCAGAAGTTACGGGAAAATTAAACATATTAATCTCCCAAAGAAGGGAAACAAACTTGCAGGATTCGGCTTTGTGGTTCTGAGAGGGAAGAAGAACGCCGAGAAGGCATTGGAGGCTGTCAATGGAAAGGAGGTAGATGGGAGAACTTTGGCTGTTGATTGGGCTGTGGACAAGACTGTGTGGGAGAATACACAACAAGATAGCCAAGAACAGGAAAATGTAGAGGAAGAAGAGTCAAGCGATGCTGAAATGGCAGACGAGGCCGAGGCCGAATCTAGTGTTGTTGATGATGAAGACCTCCCCGAAGACGAAGATATGGATGACATCGATCAGAGTGACGAAGAGGAAGACGAAGACGAGGAGGAAGAAGAGGAGGAGGAGGAAGAGAAAGAGGATGAAAGAACCGCCGCCACCGTCTTTATTCGGAATCTACCATTTACCTGTACAGATGAGACGCTCTACGAACATTTTACTCAGTTCGGACCCTTGCGCTATGCACGCATCGTTGTCGACCAGGAAACTGAGCGTCCTCGTGGTACAGGCTTCGTTTGCTTCTGGAAGGCCGAGGATGCAGCGGTGTGTGTGCGGGATGCTCCAAAACAACAAGATACTATTGCCCCAGAGAAGGAAAAGGCCAAAAAGGGCTCCATTGCATTCAAACATTCCGTCCTTCAGAATGAGAATGCCGATCCAACTGGGCGTTATACCCTAGATGGCCGAGTGCTGCAAGTTTCCCGTGCTGTGAGTAAATCACGAGCCACGCAACTCGCAGAGGAAGGTGTCTCACGGCGCCTTGTTCGTGATACTGACAAGCGTCGTCTGTATCTTCTCTCTGAAGGAACTATCTCTTCAGACTCCCCTCTGTACAAGAAGCTTTCACCGTCTGAGATTAAGATGAGGGAGGACAGCTTCAAACAGCGACAAAATTTTATCAAGAAGAACCCAACGCTTCATCTTAGTTTGACGCGACTGTCCGTTCGAAACGTCCCCCGCCATGTTACATCGAAGGATCTAAAGCAACTCGCTCGACAAGCCGTTGTTGGTTTCGCCCAGGATGTCTCTGCTGGCCTGCGCCAGCCCCTGTCCAAGGATGAGCTACAGCGTGCTTCGGAAGAGATGAAGGAAGCCGAGCAGCTCAGAAAGAAGAAAGGCCTTGGAGTTGTGAGACAAGCTAAGATCGTTTTCGAAGGACGAGATGGAAGTAAGGTCGAGGAGACCAGTGGCGCCGGAAGAAGCCGAGGTTATGGTTTTGTCGAGTATTTTACCCACCGGCATGCGTTGATGGGACTCAGGTGGCTTAACTGCCACGCTGTCGAAGCCCCCGCAACCGGCTCTGAAGATGCTAAGGACAAGAAAAAACGACTCATTGTTGAATTTGCTCTTGAAAACGCGAATGTTGTCAAACGCCGCCAGGAGCAACAAGAAAGGATGCGCAATTTCAAGAAAGGAAGTCAGAAAAATGAGGACTCCTCTAAGATTGGCGACTCCCAGAACAAAACACCACCGAAGGGCAATAAACGAAAGCGCTCCGAGAGCAGTAGTGATCAAGGGCAGGGTGGAGCAGATGGGGAAGAACAGAACAAGATTGCCAAACGCAATCGTATCATCGCAAAGAAAAGAATGCAGCGGAGGACTCGCAAGGGAAAGGCGTAGTTGGGGGCTCAAAAGTTATATATGGCTAATTTTGTTCATAGCATTTGCTTTATAATTACTCGTGTTTCCAGTTTTAGACATGGTTTACCTTGAAAGAAGCGGAAAGCATCTGTGATGCTCCATCAACATCTGAAATGAAAATAGCTCAAATTCCATGGGTATAGTACCTATGCCAAGGTGTAATGATAACTGATTCCGCATCACCCGCTTGCGACTTCCTCTCTTGCATTTGACATCAGTAGTTCGTAGCATCTTTCACCTTTCCAACAATATTATATCTCTTGCTGAAGAACGTGAACCACTCGTCTAAAACCGTCTTTTCCTTCTCTTCGAGATCGTACCATTCGGGTTTACAGTCCTCCGGCTTCAGAGAGGAGCAGGCCAGAGCTCGAGAAGGATCTTTTCCTGCAAAGACTGCAACATTTTGTCAGAGTATTTCCTGACTACTGGAGGGATGGAGATGACCTACCGCGATATGAACCTTCCGGGCCATAAGCTGAGTTTTTGGATACATCGAAAACGATACCCTTGATGGCTACCCAAGTCGGACGGTTTGGATCCGTACCTAGCAGTGTGATTGCCCTCGGTCAGCGTATTAACCCAGGGAGTGTGTAGATGGAGTTTTGAGGTACTCGGCATCGATTGGAGTGAACACGTACCGTTGCACTTTGACAATTCCTCCACAGTAATCGGATCATCCTTGGGGGGATCGAGCTGAACAGGAACCTTGGGGGCGAAACGTCCAGACATATTGGTACGATTTTAAGACAAATTCCTATCTTTCAATAAAAGTTGCAAAGGGATTAGAAGCTGTTAATATGTTTTTTTTTTCGGTGTCGCGAAGTCAATAGTGTTCGGGCCGACACAAAACGCGGGGCAGTTAGGCGGGGATTTCATTTAAATGCAAAAACACCGACACAACCGTGGGTCTGACCGTTTTTGACGTGATTTTATTTTGGATTATGTTCATGATAGTTCGTAATCCTCCTTGCCAAATTGCGACCATGTTATTGGCTAACAACATGGGTTTATATTATAGTAGTACGGCTATCTATCAGGTTCAAAATAGAGTTCGGCAATAGATTGGTTACTTCATTGATATGCATGTTCAATGCTGGAAAAAAAAAAAAGAAAGAAAAAAAGAAAAGAGTAGTCACTGGAAATGTCGCGTGGTCGGTCGACTGACGTCAGCCGCCACCACCCCTGCCCAAAGCATATAAGTAAAGAACAGTATCCAAGCAGAGAAAAGGCTAGCATTGTCCATGATCTAAAAAATCTTTCAACGCCAATACATTCAGCTATCATCTACTCACCACCGCCCTATAGGGAATATTGAGAATGTCTTCTTCACTGCAAGAGCCTCAAGGGAGCTCGCACACTCTAAGCTCGGTCCCGGAAAGCCAAAACCCTCCTGAAAGCATCAAGGGATCCCGCGGAGCGAGCACTGCCGAGCTTGATATGTCGCATTATCTTTATTTTGAAGATAACGATTGCTTTTTCCCGCCAACCGAGTTAGGTCAGAAACCACCGAGGCAGGGCGAAAGACGAGCACCAAGGCAATCGCTAATGGATGCGGAACAACCGCGAGCCCCAGAGGAATAGGGCCAGAACAGTTGTTATTTCAAGGTTTGAGGCTTGGAATATCTTGCTATAATGCAATAGCTAATTCGCTGATCATAGACTGCCGAATATTCATCTACCCTACTCTAGAGTTCAACCTAAGAACCTTTAAATAATTAGCCTGTAACTATTATGATTAAAAGTCGTTCCATACTACATACAGCATTACTGGTAGTGCTGATCGCGGTATGGGATTTGAGTGTGCAAAGCCTCTTTCGATTACTACCCTGTGGTCCTACATGACTATGAACACTTTCTTTCCCTTTATTCTTTTCTTGGCAAGGTAATCCAGCCTCCATCTCGATAGAAAACAATATACCCTGTACTTTCTATGATATCTACAATACACCAGCCATGTCAAATGTGGTTAAAGAAAGAGTAGCATGTGAATCCATGATCAAAACGCTACCGAAACAATCTATACTGCCGAGTAGATGCAAACCAAGTGGAGCCTCGGTTCTTACTCAGTTTACTGCATGTTAGATCGCCGACCATTCAATTCTCTGATCTATTGGAATTCCTTTCAAAGCCACGATAAAGATTCTTCTCTGGGCGAAGTTTGTGAGTGAGACTAGCTATAATATCCCCGCCAAATCTATAAAACGGGCATGTACTCCATACATTGACTGACTGACAAGCCGTGAGTGACACGCTGAGATGTACCCCTCCAACAATGCGCCCCACGCGGGTTGCATTAGATTCCAACATACCCAAATGCGGTTTAAGTTAGCCCGTCACGGTGGGACAATTTCCACAACGGTATAGGATTCTTGGACGCTTGACGGTCCCCTCGTCCCCCATGGGACACTGGGAAAGGATTCCCTGTACGGATTCCTTGTCATCTGTGTATTACTCGAACTCATGGTCAGGATTCTGGGGGGGTTCGGACGCAAGGGCTGGTGGTTCAGCCACTTAGATCAGAAAGGGAGTTGTGCACTTGCTCCTTGGAAATCCATTAACCTCGGATGTCCGCTCTGGTGGGGATCCTCCCCCATAGGTAAGCTTCTACCACTATTTCGCTGAACGGTGATTTGCTCATAAGTTCCTTTCATAGTCACTACTACTAGTATTGTAAACTACTGCACGTCTGGATCTTATTGGTTTTTTGATCCTTCTTTTTCTTTTTTTTTTTCTTGTTCCCACTAAGTCAGGCATGATACCACGGTGATACTATGATCATTTGCCCGGCTCAGCTAGTTTGCAAAATTTCTCTCTCGCATCTCCTTCTTTAACCGCAAGTTATTTTGCGTCTCCCTCTTTGTCCTTAATTCCTCCCTATATACAACTTATCCCGCTTGAGCGCTGCAACTCACATAAACATCGTCGATCCCAAAGGCCAGTAGTAATTGGCTATGGTCAACTCCAATTCAGACCCTGAGCGTGCGCAGGGGCCTGTTACAACTTCCCTCTACCATGGAGGACCTTCATCTATATCGGTGGACAAGCTGACGAGGCGGATGGGCGCTTCAATGGATATCCCTGAAAAGCACCCCGCGATGAACCACAGTGAAGAGTCACTCGATGCCGGGTCCAACATACTTGCCAAAGACGGCACGCACCGATTTCTCAAGTCACGGCATATCCAGTTGATTGGTATCGGAGGCACCATTGGTACAGCGCTTTACGTCCAGATTGGCCAAAGCCTGCTTAACGGCGGTCCCGCCAGTTTATTTCTGGCATTCACAATATGGTTAGTCCTCATAGCCCTGTTGATGTACTCTTTTACCTGTCGTCATGGCTTGCATTTGCTTGGGGTTACTGTGTCTCAAAGAACCGTCAGTATTGGTGAGTCTATACGGGTGGCGAAGAAACGAATATTATTTCTCGTTTGGTATTTCAGTTTGCAAAGAGAAAAGATTTGCGGCGCCAATGAATATAAAGCAAAAGCATAAAACACCACTCCACAGATCCTCAATCCACCGTGACATGCGCCGTGGTTTTTGAAGAGACAAACAGAGCCCAGACCCCACATTCTTTCCCACCCAAGTCCCATTTGCTACTTCTATATCTGGGGCCGTGGAGTCTTATACATCTCTTTTCTTAGGTGCTCCGTCATTTTAGCTATAACTGTTTGTACGAACTCCCACCCCTCAAAGCTCCGAATTCCTTGCCTTTCTTCGACATTGCCGCCAGCAGCATTTCCCTCCCAATGCAGTCCCCTCGGTGGATGGCGATGGGTTTCCATAAGCGCCAGATTTCCCCCGTGTGTCTATGTCCATAGAATCTACCAGCTTTCACGGTTCCATTTTCCCATTGCGGCCATGCTGGTCTACCCTAATGCGATCTCTCTTCCATGTCCTCCGTTATGTAGCATTTACTGAAAAACAGGAACTCCTAGGTCTGGCTGAGATGGTCGTATACCTTCCCGTCTCCTCTCCTTTCATCCATTTTGCTGGCCGCTATGTCGACGAAGCCTTTGGGGTAGCAGCCGGCTGGAATTTCTTCGTCTTCGAAGCTGTGCAGGTGCCATTCGAAATCACTGCATGTAGTATGATCATCCACTACTGGAGTGATGTGGTCCCAACAGTTGCAATCATAGTCATTGTGCTTGTGCTCTATGCGTGCGTTATTCCTTGTACGATTATGGGCAGCCCCGTCGAACTTCGTTTCTAACTTATGAGACTAGATTCCTGAATGTCTTCGCCGTAAACTACTACGGCGAAGCCGAGTTCTGGCTTGCTCTGGGAAAAGTCTTACTCAGTATAGGTCTGATCATTTTCACATTTGTTGCAATGTTGGGTGGCAATCCCCAAAAGGACCGATTTGGGTTTCGCTATTGGCAAGAGCCTGGTTCATTTGCAGAGTATTACAAAACAGGAGACCTTGGGCGATGGTTAGGATTTCTTGCTTGCTTGATCAAGGCGAGTTTTACCATTGCGGGTCCCGACTATGTGTCAATGGCCGCTGGAGAAACTGAGAATCCACGAAAGGTCTTGCCGAAAGCATACAATGGCGTCTTCTACCGACTCACGTCATTCTTCGTTCTGGGAGCACTCTGCGTGGGTATTTTGGTCCCTTATAATGACCCGACCATGGTCAATGCATTCGAGAAGGATCTACCTGGCGCGGCTGCATCGCCATATGTCATTGCGATGGACAGACTGGGTATTCCGGTTCTCCCGCATATTGTCAATGCCATGGTCCTTCTAGCTGCCTTCAGTGCAGGAAACAGCTATGTCTATTGCGCCAGCAGATGTCTGTATGGACTTGCACTGGATAACAAAGCGCCGAGAATCTTCAGGAAATGCACGAAGAATGGCGTTCCCATCTACTGTGTGGGACTTGTCCTGCTGATTGCGCTGCTTGCCTTCCTGCAAGTCTCCAACAGCGCATCAGTTGTGCTTAATTGGTTTATCAACCTGGTAGGTCACCCCATACGTCATCTCAAGGCAAGCGGCTGAATAGTACATCAGGTTACTGCATCGCAGTTGATTAATTTCTCGGTCGTTACCTTTTCCTATACCCGCTTCAGGAAGGCACTTATCACGCAAAACATTCCCCGCAGTTATCTCCCGTATCAGAGTCTGGGTCAGCCTTACGTTGCCTATGTAGCTCTGGTCTGCACGATAGTCATGGCATTTGTGGGTGGGTATGAAGTCTTTCTACCTGGAAAATGGGATATTCCCACCTTTTTATTCTCATACACAATGATTGGGGTTTTCCCAATAATTTTCTTTGGGTGGAAGCTTTGGCACAAAACCCAGATTCGAAAGCCTGAAGAAATTGATCTGAAGACCGGACTCGATGAAATTGAAGAGTATGAAAGAAACCATGTGTCTTTGCCTGCGAGGTATGTGCTATCCATTCTTTCTGGGGTATTTTCCACCCCACTGTTATTCTTTACACGGCTAAACATCCCCATAGCAATATATTCTCGAGGTTTGCCGATTGGATTTTCGGCTAAGACTGTGTACATGCATCTCTGCTGTTGGGTGGCCTGTTGTCCAGGAGCTTCAACTGTACGGCGTTACGAATTGAATGGTGTAACATCGATATATCTGAGCAGCTCTCGTCGTAGAGTTCATTAAACCTGTAACTGTATGTACAGCCTAAAATGTGTTGGATTATTATACATCAGCAATCAATCTATGAAAGAAAAAATGTCTCCCTGGTATCAAAAGCATAAGTCCGTAACTCCTACCCTGTAGAAACTAGCGACCTTCCCACCGCTTCCTGTGCCTAATTGCCCTCTTCCTGCGCTCCCTGAGCAGCCGCCTTCAGTGCCTCCATCCGCTGTTTGTTTCGCTTGCCTAGCACCCGCAACGTATTCTTCTTCTCAATCTCCGCCATCTGCGCCCAGTTCGCGATCCGTGATAACGTCCCATCCTGGTTGACCACTAGCGGACCCAAGTGATCCAATTTCACCGTCGACCCATCACCACTGATATCCAGCTGATGTGTCTGGTCGGCGCTGCTGGAGTCGGGAAGAGCGAGGTACTGCTCTGGTTTCTTTTCGGTGGCGGAGTCAGTAGCGGCATTGTCGGATTGTTGTTGTTGTTGTTGGATTTGCTCGGCGGACGATGACATTGTGGAGTAGGATTTTTCTTGATAGAGATTGGAGGGACACTGGGGGTAGGCAATCGGTGTACGAGTTAGTCTTTGTGAGAGGATTGTCGTAGGTGCGACTGTGGTTGAGGCGCGCGTCGGGACTGTCAGGAATGGGTTTAGGATGAGGTGTAGAAGTGTTGCGCGCGTTAAAATGGATTTGTGCATGTCTTCTATCTGGGCCGGGCTTTCTGCTAATGGAGGCGGGTTTGGTGGATAAATAGATTGGGGTATTGTTGGTGGATTTGGTGGTGCGGGAGTTCGGTGGGACTGACGGAGGATTCTAGAACGATTATTCGAATTTGCCTGTTGGTGTTTTGGGGATATGACGTTGGTCTGGGGTATACTTCCAATTTGTATTTTTTTCTACCTGTTTATAACTCTACGTGTGTAGAGATTCTCTAGTTGGTAAAATTTTTTGTATTATATAGAAACTAGTTACTCTGAATTTACCTAAACCACCAATTGACCTGTGATGTGTCAGAGGACGTATGACAAGCAACACATAGATAAGGAAGGGAACTTACCGAAGCAGTGACACCATGTCCTACCCCCTTAATGCTATGCCACCATCCTTTAGGAATGAACATCCCATCCCCAGCCTCCAGCTGCGCTTCGTACCCAATATACTTGCGTGCCGAACTGGCCGTGTCCAAACCATCGTCCCAGACCTCCTTCTCTAGCAATGTTCGCTCTCGTCCCTGCATCATTTCTGACCCTCGAAACACAGCAGCTTCGCGATTCCCGCTCTTCCCCAATTGCCTTCTTACCGACGCGAACAGCACCTGTCCATCGTCGGGAGCAATTAACCGCACAATTTTTCGTCCAGCAAGTTGAACGAACAAATTCGGGTTGGGATCACGATGAAGGGGGGTGTATGTAGGGGGATAACCGATCCACACATTGGTGTCGTAAACATCGCCGTTGCCCGCCTGGGACACAAGCTCAGGAGTTGCAAAGTCGTCACGAAGCGTCTGTGGCAAATCGGATAGCTGGCATTGTGCTAAATACAGTCTAGTCGACTGTGGCTGTTCCTCCGACGTGCGCATCCATCCCAGAAAAAGACTGAGAGGCGCATGGAATTGTCTGAAACTGATATCACCCTTGTCCGGTTCTGTCGACGGCTGTGTAAGTTCTAGTGGGACAATAGCGTTTGCTCCATGCTGCTCGAGGTATGTGGTATTCAATCGGGATACATTGGGCCCGGATGGGGAAGACTGGAACCAGCGTCCAAAGGCGGGTAGATCGCGAAAATGGCGGCGCGGGAGGATAACAGGCAGCTCGGCGATGAAGTACTCCTTGCGGAAATTTTCTATGCTAACATCATCAAGAATTTTCAAAGGGTGATACCCGCAAGAAGGTGCGACGGAGGGAGAGTTTTGGGTGCTGAATTGAGCATATGGCCTGTTTGGATTATTGAATCGCGTAACGGCGGGTGAAAGGCGGTACCAAACTCCTGGGTTACCGTTGAAAAGCCATCGCTGGACCTTCATTCAGAAAATGAGCGTTTTTTATAAGTTTAGTCTGGTGAAAAGTTTCAAGATCTCTCTGTCCCTGAAGATGGTAGCTAAACTCGGGTGACAGCCGATCGGGGAATTTTCTCTTCCGGATTCCGAAGTCGAGGACATACATTGAAGACAAGAAATGGCTAAAGAAATCAGTTTGTCACAAAAGATTCGAAGTCCACCAAAAAAGAAAGGACCCAAATGCGGATTAATTCAAAGTACGCCCTGAATCGGGTGTCAAAACTTGGAAGCTTTTCAAGTAGTCCTGACAGCTCATAATGATTCAGTGGCTGGGGCTCATTTTACCATAGAAGAAATATTGCCCACTAATCGGGCAAGCAATGACTACCTAGCTAGAGTACTTCGGCTAGTACTAGTATTTATAGCATCCACTATTTGTTATCTATGGCCACTGATTCTCCCAACTTACCAGTGAAGCTCACGGAAATTGTCAGAGGCCCGCCAATCCTTACCTATTCAGGGCTGGTTTGGTCTGGGGAAACGGAAACCCCGCGCACCCAATTGAATGAATGTCGAAAGGAATCTCTCCGCACCGGTTACTGCCATCGCTCGTTCCCCTACCGGCTCATCGCACCCTAAAAAACTGTCAAGATGGCTTCGGAGACCACGCCGGTGGACACAGCGACGTCGAACCCAGCATCAGGCGATCAGAATGCCCCCGTGGAGGGCGATAGTGCGAAGCGGAAAGCGGAACAGACCAACGGAACTCATACGCGCACGAAGCGGAATCGTTATATCTCTATCGCTTGGTATGATCTCGGACTTGGATCGTCCCGATTCTAACCCCTGTGCAAAACATGCCATATCTGTTTGTGTCTCGTGATATCCTGCGGCAGTGGAGCTGACTGGTCTTGGTACTGTACTTCCAGCAATGAATGCAAGCGTCGGAAGATTAAGTGCAACGGCCAGGTACCGTGTCAACGTTGTGGACACCTCAATCTCGAATGTTAGTAGACGGAACAACAGCCGCACCTCCTTCGTCCTAAGGGGCAGCGGTACGCACACATGTGTCATGCGGTTAATCATGTTTTGATAGGTCGATATGCCCCTAATTGCTGCAACAATAACTTTAAGGATTCGGAGTATGTTGACCGAAACACCCCTCTATGCCGCGCTTACCACTGCTAATTTATATCCACTGTGACTAGTGAGTTCCGCTCAATGAAAGACCAGATTACGACTCTGCAAGACCAGGTCAATAGCCTTTTCAGTAGTCTAAATGATCTGCGTTCGCAGAGATCTTCCATCGATTCGCCGAGCTTTGACAACTTCTCCCGAGATGGATCGCAACCTGTGTTTACTCCTATGCATGCTGGTCTGGCCAAACCACGCATAAGGCATCCCCGATTCCACGGCCCCACGAGCTCGACATTCAATTTCAATGTAGCAAAATCTAGCCTTCAAAACATGGGTATCGCTCCGACAGAAGAGGTGATAGCCGACGACCTAACTACGGCTCATGCTACACCTGCCGGCTCACCTCCCCATGTTGCACCATTCGCGCCTCCTATTCATCCTACTAAAGATCCCATATGGGCCATTAAACGTGAGGATGCTATACGATTATGTCAAATCTACGAAGAAGAGATTGGGATCATGTATCCACTTTTCGAAATTGAAAAGGTAACGCAGCAAATCAACCTACTCTACACCTTTATGGAGGCTGCAACGCGCACGGGATTTGCTCAGCGAGCGCTGCCCGGCTCAGATGGTCTCCAAGACGACAACACGAACCTTATAAAGATGATCCTTGCTACAACGCTGGTCGTCGAGGGAGGTGGCCAGAGCGAGCTTGGTCAGCGTCTTTATCTGAGTGTGAAACCGGTTATTGAGTCCAAGATTTGGGAGCCATTGGACATCAGAACCGTCCAGCTTTTCGGCATCGTGGTATGTTATTCTGATTCATCGCGCAGATTTCTGATATCTAACATCTCATGATAAGGCAACCTACCATTTCCACACAGACGATGATGCTATGGCCTACCGTCTCATCGGGTTAGCTGCTCGAATGTGTCTTGAACTAGGCTTGCATCGACGAGATGCGTTGGCGAAGTCATTTCCTAACGAAGACCAATGGCCAGAGATCATCAAGATCTTCTGGGCAACCTATAGCTTGGATAGGCGCTGGAGCCTTGGTACTGGACTGCCGTTTGTTATTCAGGATGAAGATATTGATCCGAACTTGCCAGAGCCGGTAGGATATGCTTACAACCATCCCGTCAGGGTTATCCGTTGCTAATAGACATTTAGGATGCATCGCTGCCATACCTAAGGTGTATGATTTCCTATAACCGCATTAGCTCAAAAATTTGGTACGCTGGGCTTGGCTCAGAGGGAGCAATGGACATACGTCGAGATGAAATCGGCTATTTGGACTATCAAATTCTCCAGTGGTACAAGCACATTCCAGATGCTTTGAAGTTCTATCCAATACAGTCACCAAAGCATGGAGAGTCAGTGAACCGGGGTCTTCGACGACTGCGAGTGCTGTTATATTTGCGCATGAACCAGCTTCGCATTCTTATCTACCGACCGGTCCTTCACTCAGCAGCTAGCATCTCCGAAGATAAGGGTCATGCCCAGACTGTGGTGGATGTTGCTAAGGATACGGTTCGAGTGCTTACGCGGCTGAACCAAACTTCCGACATTTACCGCACTCAACAGATTACATTCAACTATTTCCTTGTTGCCGCTCTGGCTGTCCTTTTTCTCGCCGTCTGCCATGCTCCGACGGAGTTCAACCGGCAAGTCCGAGACGAGTTCTACATGGCTCTCGACCTAGTCAACGGCTTTAGCACGAAATCTTACGTATCGAAACGGTTATGGAAGGCCATCAAAGGCCTTCGAAGGATTGGTGAAAGGCTGGGCGTGCTCGTGCGCCCCTTTGGGTCAGATTCCAATGACCCTCATTCTACGGCGGCCGTCGCCATGGCGGGCTTGGCTGGCCATCCAATTGAAGATCTGTCGGTGTATGGGCCTATAAGTGGGGTGAATGAACTCGGAAATAGCCCATTGAATGGGCTTCAGATGAGCCATGAGCTGACAACCCTGTTCGAGGCTGTTGGAGGATTCGGCAACTTCATTGCGTCTAGCACAGCGCAGGACGGGATGAGCGGGTTTGTAGGTCCCGATGGAGAAATTCCAAACACAGGGGAAGGCCTTTCAGGAATTCTGGGAGATGATGGTGAATTATCACGAGCCATTAGGGATTTGTTCTGAGGGACACGCTTGTATGTATATTGACGTGGGGTGTATATAGTGAGACTTTTCTTTTACACGACGTCCCGCTCGGGGATTCTTTGTGGACAAGCCTGAGTACAGTGGGAGCTACTTTGATACAATAGCGATAAAGTAAACATAGTGTATTTGCTGAGTGCTGTAACAGGTGGTAGTACTTAGGAGTCATGGACGGTCGAGACCCAGCCCTCACTCCCTGCACGTGACCCCGCATGGCTGCCAGCCGGAGGGCTGGAGAGTTAAACCTAAGTTCTTTTGCCAACCACCCATCCTCTTGAACCCCAATCAAAGCAGAAGCCATGCCCAACTGACGACCTACGGTTTGTGAGACCACACCTTCGACGTTGAGGGATCTCTCCACTTTCATCTAGTCCCGCGACGGCCACGGCCACTGGGACCGCTGGCACACATCTTTTTCCACCGCCCCACGAAACCTAATTTCGGAGAACCCCTCGACTGCGGCGATCAATCACTGCACAATTAAGAAAGGGAAGGAGAGACAGGGATTCCCGGATTCATTGCTCACTGTGCCCACCAAGGATAGATAATTGCCATTATCCGACTTTTATCTCCAATTTCCATGATCTTCTGAAGTCGACTCCTTAGTGGGGGGGATTTATCGCTATCACGTCAACGCCGCCTCATCGCACAATAACTCTCGTTTCGCACATTGTTATGATCCTTGGCCTTATCAGACAGACTCGTTCGCTTGTTCTTGGCCTCTAAGGTTGCTCCAGTCTTGCCCTCATTGAACGAGACTCCTAATCTCCTGGATCGGGGGATTCTTGAGCAAAAGCGACTTGGGCCGGGACGCAGTTTCAGCTGGTGCAAGTTGCTAGAGACCTATCTCTTTACGAGATCACCCCAGAACGGTTTTTACCGGTAGCTCGGCAACGTGTCGAGAGAGACAGGTTCGGCGTTGGCCGACGGCCTAGACAGGCTGGATCTGAGTCAACTGTCTGAATCAACTCCCTCATCATCTGCGTCCGATTCGTTCGATATGTCGTCATCGGAAGGGGCCCCGGAGTCATGGATCTCCTCCTTTTGCTCCCTAATGGGCCATGAGTTCTTTGCCGAGGTGTCGGAGGATTTCATCGAAGATGACTTCAACTTGACGGGACTGCAGTCACAGGTGCCCATGTACAAGGAGGCATTGGAGATGATCTTAGATGTAGAACCAGAGGAGGATGAGGACGAAGAGGAGGAGGAAGAAGAGGAAGAGGAAGACGAGGATGAAATATTAGGTGATGAGAAGCCCCCCGGGTATCGGCGAGCGGGTGACCGAAGGCATACGCGGGTGGCTAGTGATCTGAGTGTGATAGAGAGCTCTGCTGAGTTGCTCTACGGTCTAATTCATCAGAGATATATTACTTCTCGGCCGGGCATACAGCAGATGCTGGAGAAGTACGAGATGCAGCATTTTGGCGTCTGCCCCCGCGTCTACTGCAATGGATGTAAGGTTCTGCCGGTTGGTCGGTCTGATACTCCAGGCCAAGAGACGGTGAAGCTCTTTTGTCCGAGCTGCCAGGATCTGTATACACCCCCAAACAGTCGATTCCACTCTGTTGACGGTGCCTTCTTTGGAACTACTTTTGGATGCTTGTTTTTCATGACATTCCCGGATTTGGACATTGGCCCTAGGCTCGACAGCTCTCTTGTATCGCCGACACGGTCATCCTCAGCAAATAACCAGGTCTTACCCGATGTTCCCCCCGCTCATCAACCGGTGG